ATATAGTAAAAACAGTGAAATAATACAAAAAAACACAAACAATTACATAAATCATAGAATCAATCGATCAATCGATCAATCGATCAATCAATCAATCAATCAATCAATCAATAAAAAGCTGATTTTACTCTTATTATATGTCAATCTGACTGATTTATCTTGGTAACCGTTTTATTTAACAGTTTTATCTTGTGATGGTCTTCAACAGGTGCAATAAATATTATTATTATTATTATTATAAGAGCTACAAGTGGATTCCCCCAGCAGCTTCTGCCTGCAGGACGCGGGAGTTGTAGTCCAAGAAACGGTGTCTAAATAGTTCAGTGGTTTAGGTCTCTGGCTGTGGAGTCGGAAGTTAGGTGTTCAATTCCCCCACTGGGCCTCTTGTGAGTGGAGCCAGCCTGGGTGGCCTTGGGCCAGCTGCACAGTCCCAGGGCACCCCCTAGAGGAAGGGAAGGGTAAAACACTTCTGAGTATTCTCTACCTGGAAAACCCTGAAAAAGGGCCATCGTGAGTCAGAATGGACTTGACAGCACACGATTATTATTAGTCCAAGAAAGATCCCCCCTCCTATTGATGTACAGTGGTGCCTTGCTAGACAGTTACCCCGCATGACAGTGTTTTCGCTAGACATTGGCTTTTTGCGATCGCTATAGCGATTCGCAAAACAGTGATTCCTATGGGGAAATTTCGCTGAACAATGTTTGGTCCCTGCTTCGCAAACCGATTTTCGCTAGACGACGATTTTGAAAGTTCCCTCCATGCTCGCAAACAGTTGTTTTCGGGACCTAAGCTTCACAAGACAGCGATTTAAACAGCTGATCGGCGGTTCGCAAAGCGGCTTTCCTATGGCCGATCTTCGCTAGACAACGACGATTCTTCCCCATTGGAACGCATTAAACAGGTTTCAATGCATTCCAATGGGGAAATGCTTTTCGCTAGACAATGATTTCGCTAAACAGTGATTTCAGTGGAACAGATTATCATCGCCTAGCGAGGCACCACTGTACATTTAAGCCAATAAAACAAACTTCTTCTCCAGGAATCCTGGGAGTTGTAGTCCTGTCCAAATGGAGACCAATGAGACCAGACCATGTGCAGGTGTACACCTGGCATAAGAATCACAGCCTCTCACATATCAGTTTTAATTCTGGATGTCAGGACATCTCCTGGCAATGCCTGGCCCTCCCTGCGGCCAACGTGTCTCTTAACCTTGTTGTGAACGTATCAAAATAGGGTAAGGGCAGCAGGCGTGTAGTCCTCAACTCCACGGAGGACAAGAGGAGCACGCCAGGGTCACAAAGCAACAAAAACACAGTTTGTGTGGCTCTTATACAAAGGTAGAGGGCACCACCTAGTGGATGTTGGGCTGCCAGAAGAAACACAGCGCAATATTTTAATTTTTTTAAAGGAGCCGATTTCCCCGCTTTGCTCCTTGTTGACACACCTCGTCAGCGGTGGCTTCTCCACAGAACCCAGTAGTTGTTATCAGTGCAACCGATGCGCTCAAAAGTAAGAATCGGGCCCAACTAGTACTTGTAGGAATGGAAAAAACCCCTCTCTTCCACCAGATAGATGAAAGCCCAGACCAGCGGTTCTGCATCAGTTTGCAGAAAAAGCAACATAGGGCTGCAGGATCGGCATAAGGAAGAAGAACAGGAATATGCCAAGGGCATTCATGAGGTGGAGACCGTAGATTATTCAACGGTTTAGGCATCTGGTTGTGGAGCCAGAGGTTGGGAGTTTGATTCCCCCACTTGAGCCTACTTGACAGGGGCTGGACTGGATGATCTATCGGGTCCCTTCTAGCGCACTTCGTGACCCCAAGATTAAAAACAAGCAAACAAAAAAAACTGGTCTTCTTTGTAAGCGACTCGGTGAAGCATTTGCGGTAAGGCTATCTAGAAATCCTGAAAACTAGTTAATGTCAGCCGCCTTGGGTCTTTTCCAGGCTTTTATTTTAAAATAAAAAAGATTTCAAATAAATAAATAAATCCGCCATCTCTGTGCTAGGTTCATCTCAGCAAAGCAGCACATTCCCCAAGGGCACTACGTACATTTCTCCTCTGTCTACCTGTTGTCAATATCCGTTTGCTTTTGCAACGTGATGGGTCAACAAGAAATAAGAGGTTGATTTGCAAGTCAGATTTTACAAGACATGGAGCTATGAAGGAATTGCGTGCCTAGAAGGAAAGTATTGTAATATTCTGAAAGATGCATTGATGTGTGACCGTCACAATTCACAGTTGTGTCAGAGGAGCTGATCAAACAGAACAGACTCCAACTCCCATGAGCCCTAGCTGGTGTAGCCAATATTGAGGAATGCTGGAGTTCCAATACAGCAATATCCAGAGGGTTAGGTGTAAGCCGTGCAGGGGCAATGTATTCCACCACATCTGAAAGGACACCAAAGGCAGTTACACTCTGCCACTACTGAACTAGGGCAAAGACACATATCATGTTTCTCTCAACACCCAACATCCCTGGTTAAAAAGACTAGGGCTGAAGGTTGTTGGGAATCTCGCATCTGAACAGCTAATATTCTCCATCCCTAATTAAAGAACATGTTCAAGACCTTGTAGACAAAAGCATTCAGAATAACAACACATACATCAGTAGAAATTTGGAGATCAAACGACACACGACAGATAGTCTATCGTTAGAAGTGGGGATTCCGTTAAGTGCAGAAAAGACATCTGATTGTCACAACACAAGCTTTTTCTCAGCTTCTGTAGTATGCAAATCAGCTTCCCCCCGGTTTTGTGATTGGTCCTTGGGATGTGAACACAGGCACAAAGCCCTGTCAAAATCTTATCTCTGAAAGCTAATGGCTTCCAGCTTCTAATGACATTCTGCCTGAAATGTGTAGCTTGGCCCAAGGCTATTGCCACCGTTTTCAAAAAAAGCCACAGACGAAAATTGGTTTGGGTTGATTTTATTGAATACCGATGACCGAGTTAGTTGTTACAAACGATTCCCCGAAATCGTAAAAGCGTTTAGAGTCCTTTCCTGCCCAGATGTAAGAAGACACGTTCTGTTCCTTTTCGTTCGGAAAGTTGAAAGGGGACAGAAGAACAGAAGGAAAGGTTTGCGTGTAATAAAGGAAGTTAGCGGCGCTCTCCAAACCAAGATCAACCTGCAACGCGGAAGGTCATCTCTGCTTCATACAGACCCCACACCGAGAGATCCCCTTGTGCTATGGGGTCAATTCTTTCAATGCATTCAAAACAGAGTCCCTTACCTTCCCGAATCAGGTTGTGGGGGTTTTTTTTTGGAGGCGGGGAAGAAATGCAAGAGGGAAAGGATGCTTAAAAGTCCAAACCATGCAATTAACATAAAAATCCCAAAGTATTCAAGGAAACTTTGAAGGGACAGCCACACCATTTAAAAAAAAATAGACCATAAGAAAACCTACATGTGGGTGGCAGTGGCTGAAACGCGCAGCCTGTCCAGTATGCTCACTTGCACGGCGGCTCACGAGAAAATGTCGTGGTTCGCCTGAGCATAAGGCAGGATAACAGAGAAAAATTAAAAGCGGTAAGGAGGTGCGCTCCTACTTTCTCAACAAATGTTAAAACGCAGAAGCAGCACCAAAGTGGGGTGCTTCATAAAAACTGTCCCTTAAAATTGAGAGAATCTACCATGACAGGACACAGTGATGCTGGCTTCAAAGACAGGCTAGGCAAAATCAATGGGGAGGGGGGGCTTTAATTAATAGTCTATTAGCCATGTTGGCTATCCCATGCCATTTCCGGGATCAAGAAGCAGTTTTCCACTGAATGACTGCAATGCCTATCATCCCCAATCACCACCACTGTTGATGGTGTAAGCCGTGGAGGGGCAATGTAGTCCACCACATCTGAAAGGACACCAAAGGCAGAAGGTGGAAATCACTAGTTACAAAGAACTACTTATTTGGAACTAATAGTTTCCCAGTGATGAGACACTGGATCACCAGTGCAACTTTAACAAGGGGGAACTTCACTCCTTGGTAATGTAACTTTTTCAGTTCGAGTTACTTTTGAGAACTATGTTAGTTTTTTAAAGGAAAATGTATGTATTTTATTTATTTATTTAACTTATTTGCCGCCCACTCTACCCAAAGGTCTCTGGGCGCCTTACAACAATGTAACTATCATGGTAACCAATTCCTTTTGGGAGACTTGGAACTAAACTGTAACTGACTGGAATTTTCCAGATTCTGAGCCGAGGTATTCTTCCTAAAGCTTTCCTACACCTTTAGATGCCCTCATCTCTGCATAACTGAGTATTTGAAATATAATTTATATGTACAAATAAACACAAGGAACTATGTAAGATCAAAGATCACTTGCTTGGGTTTAGAGAGAGGAGCAGAAATATTATTTAGAGACCAAAAGAAATGATTGCATAAAATCATAATTAATGTTTCCCTTTGCTCTTCTAGAAAAGAGGGAAGGTGAGAGACCAGCTACTTCAAAAAGGACAAAAGAGAGGAATTCTCAATACGATACTGACAGCCCGTACAGAAGGACTGGAGATGAGTGGAAAGGTTCATTCATTAGACTACAATTTAGAAACAAGTGGGGGGAAGAGAAGATGAATACAGTGGTGCCTCGCTAGACGAATGTCTCACGGCACAAAGACGAATGGCTCTGGCTAGGTTTTATGTGCCTCACAAGACGATTGTTCCTATGGCCCTGCTTCACAAGACGAAGCCCCAGGAGGCTTATCAAAGCCTTTTTACTTTCCAAGGCTTGCCGAAGGCAGGGGGAGAGGGCGGGAACTTCAAAAATGGTGCCGGGCAAACATCTGCAAACGCCCATCGCCGCGCGGAGAGACCCCCACGAGTCCTGGGATGGTGCAAGGTAAGCCGCAGGGGACCCCCAAAGCCGGTGAACGGCGCTTACAGAGGTTAGCCCAGCACCCCATATGGCAAAGTGCTGCTTTCAGAAGCCTCCCAGGGCTTCGTCTTGTGAAGCAGGGCCATAGGAACAATCGTCTTGCGAGGCACAAAAAAACTATTTAAACACTCCTCCATGTTAGAAAGGATGGAAAGAAAGTAGAGAACAGCCCAGAGAGAGAGAGAGAGAAATCTAACACTAGTTAGACTTAGTTTTGTTAAAAAGGTTGGCTGTCGGTTTAGCGTTCTCCTTTTAGATGTGGCTTTCTTTCTTTAACCTAGTGCTCTGTTTCTAGACTTCATTTTCGATATACAGGGCAACTTTGTATGGTGAAGCTTAAAAAAAAACAACCCCAAAAACACAACCCTGGATAAGATTCTGCCATGAGAATCTGCAAGGCACATGAAACGAGCCATGGCTGGAGGATCCATGTGCTTACTGCCCTGTATGCCTGCAGCTCTGTGTGGGTGTAATATGTCCCTGAGCATGCACAGAGCTGCATTTTAAGGTACTAGTTTGGGAGTGAAACACTTAAAAGGAACTCAGCGTTACTCAAGGCAGAGGACGTTGAGTACTTGAAAGATAAAACAAAGGCCGCACCCTTCATCCGGTAGCACGCGAGTGCATTCTGGAGGTCGGTTTCTCCACGTACAACTGTACTGCTCAAAGAAGCCTCCCTTTAAAAAATAATAATATTATTATAATTATCGCACAAGTCCAAAAAACAAATTGGTTGAGGGAAGACGCAACGAAGGCGTTCGCTCTGTTTTGTGCAAAACTACGGTTAATGCTAAAAAGTTCTTATTCCCTTTCTCTCCACCGAGGGAGAAGCCGAGACAAGGCCGTGCTGGTTTTCCTTTCGTTCAGCCACCTTCGGAAATTTTAAGAGTCGTCTCCCAGAATTTCTGTGACGAAAGAGACCATATCAGTCACTTTGGTGTCGTGCAGAGTGAAGAAAGGGTGCGCCTGTAAGGGAAGGAAGGAAGAATAAGTTCAGCTCGGCAGGCGCGATGGACTTGGATCTTGGTAAGGAACGGCTGACAAAAGAAGTCGCAAAGCACTGTGGGAAGGTCCTGCTCCCACCGATAGCACACTCTCACTGTACTTTAACTGCCATGGCGGTGCCATTAGACTGCACAATCCTGCACTCTGTAAATAATGTCGTCGAGCATGCATACACATCCTAGCAAAAGGAAAGCTGCCCATTAATACCTAAGTTGGTATTGACACGTAAGAACATACAGTGGTGCCCTGCATAGCGACGATAATCCGTTCTGGAAAAATCGTCACTATGTGGATTTGTCGCTATACAGAACAAAAAAGCCCATAGGAATGCATTAAAACACGTTTAGTGCGTTCCTATGGCCAAAATCCTCACCGTTATGCGAAAATCCTCCATACAGCCGCCATTTTCGCTGCCCATTTTAATTACCCGGTGGCCATTTTGGAACTGCCGATCAGCTGTTTTAAAAACATCGCTATGCGAAAATCGGTAAGTGAAATAGCTTACCGATCATCGCAAAGTGATGTTTTACCATTTAAAACATCGCAATGCGATCACATAAACAATCACAAAAAAATCATCGCTATGCGGATTCGTCGTTAACCGAAGCGCTCATTAAGCAAGGCACCACTGTACTTGAAGGGTGCACCTTCTGGATCTGAAGAAGTGGAATGTACTCCCCAAAAACTTGTGCAATGATAAATCTTTTCATCTTAAAGGGGCCATGAGTATTTTTTTTCTCTCTTGTTTTGATATACAGGTTACACAGACGATGAGAAAACCATATAAATACGTATGAGATCCAGTGTGGTGCTGTGGACAGAATGGTGGATTAGGCCCCAGGAATCCTGGGTTCAAATCCCTACTCAGCCCCAAAAAATCACTGGCGAGTGAAAACTACCCCTGAAATATCTCCCACACCTTTAAAAACCTCTCTTAGGGTTGCCATAAGACCGAGTCAGCTTGATGGCACATCACCCAGAGAGCAGAAATCCGTCAATATGTATGTGGCAGGCGAAAAGGGGGTCACGAAGGGAAGAGACTTACCATAAGTTCCAAGTAGCTCATTCGTTCTGCAGGGTTTTTCCTCAAACTAAAAAAAGGGGGGAAATAAAGAATCTCTGTCACATTCTAGTGTTTAAAAGTTTTTAAAAATCAACTGGAGAAAAAGAGTGCCACAGTTCTCCTAGCACTCAGGACTCTAAGCTGCTATTCTATTTTCTCCAATTCTCACACTTCCCAAAACTCCCCATGGATAGAGGCGGGCACGAACTGCGGTTCAGCCCAGTTTGGCACAACGCCTGCACAGGTGTTCTTGCGGATGTCACATGCTGCATCCCTCCCCAGGCAACCGCCCACTCACTGGCAACGGTGCACTTCCCTCCTCTGCCTCCTCCATCAGCTGCCCACTCAGATGAGGAGGTGAGCCAGGGAAGCCCACGGCAGCGCCTCCGAGAGAACGATCACCCAAGGAGGTGGAGGAGGGAAGCGTGCTGCCACCAGGGAGCAGCTGATCACCTCGAGAGGGAAGCACACGGTGCCCACGGAACACCCATGTGGGTGCCGTGCTGAACCACAGTTCACGCCCATCATGACATCTTTCCTTTTTTTCTGTGACTAGGCGTGAGTTGGATTGCTTGGATTCACCAGTCTTGAGGCTCAAAGCCTGCAGTGCGGTGGGATCAAGGGAGGAAGTCTGCAGGGGAAAGGACGGCGCACAGTAGTGGAACCTTGCATTCTTCAGGGGGTCCCCAGTTCAATCAGCTGCTTCTCCAGATTTTTTTAAAAAAAATATTATCTGAATGCTGGAGACCTATGGCTGCTGGTTAGCATTGGCCACACTAGCATAGCTAGACCTGAGGATCTCGGTATAGCTTTCTACGTTCTTAAATCTGAGGTTGAGGGTGGGAGACGCAATGTGCCTCCAAGACCAATATGCGCCGGGGTACGAACATGCCCGAACACGGAGTTGCCACCAGCAGCCATTTCACTCGCTAGTAAAGTCTCTCCATGAATGGCTGTTAAAATGGTGTTTCTCCAGCTCATGTAGGGAACATCAGCAAAAAGGGAGCCCAAGGGAGAAGCGAAGAAGGCGTTATCGGCCCACTTAAGAGGGGAACCCGGAGGTCTCTAGGAGGAGCATAACCCCCTCTCCTGAAAAGGTTTTACGAGGCCAACGTCGTGATCCAGGTGGAGAAAGGAGGGTCCCAGGCCTGCCAACGATTTGCAAAATGGCATTCATGCCATTCAGCATTGGAACATAAGCCCACGCTCTTCCACAAAAATAAAAGTGGAAAATGCTTTGGTTTCGAGGTGGCCGGTGGGAGAGTTGAGTTCCTGGAGGCAACCCAGGCTGAGCTGCGGGGAGAAGACAACAGACTTCGGACAAACACAAAACCTACCAGTGTGCGGTGAAATCCACAAAGTCCTTCGAGAAAGAATCTGGGAGCTGAGGCGAGGGCTCTTCCACCACCTGTTTGAGTTGCTGGAAGGGGGTCCCCCAGGACTCGTAGGGGAAGCGGAGAATGGCCAGTTCAATCTGAGAAAACGACAGATAGCGCATCAGATCGCATCATGCGACATATGCCCCGCTCAGGCAGGCCAAAGCAAAGGCTCGCCTTACAGAGACCAGTGGATCACCCGATGCCTCTGGAAAGTGGATTCCTCCCGTGCCGTAAATGGGATCCACTCTTCCCCTTGCCCAACAAACTGGGGCTTGCTGGTGCGCTACCTCTGAAACTCACACACCCCATGGAATGGAGCAGAGACCCTTCCAGACGTTAGGGACCCCGTAGCCCCCTTCAAACCACTGGCGGGCTCCCTCTCTGCTGCCACATTTAGGATGGCAGGGGTTAAAAAGTCAGTGAGGGTAATAAATGTTAAAATAAAACATCCTGGAATGTGCATTAGGTTTCTTACCAAAGTAATCCCCAAGCTCCAGACATCTGATTTCACATTGTACCCTTTGTGGTTCACTTCGGGGTTTATTCTCTCAGGCTGCACAGGTGAAAAGGAAAAGAGACCAAACGTTTGAACCATGACCAGGGAGAACTGAGTTCTAATATCGACTCAGTTATGAAGATCAGTGGGTGATTGGGCTGTTGACTGTCTTTCTCCCCCTTCCCCCAGCAGCAGGCAGGCCGTCCTTTTTCCTTGCAGGAGTGGAACATCTCTTTTGGCCCAAGGTCCAAATTCAATTTTGGAGACGTTGGCCGGGGGGGGGGGGACACACCAACCCAGGGATGGGCAGAACCAATGGGCAAAAGGGGCGAAAGCAAAACTACCAGTTGAAAAGCGCAATCTGTTAATTTCTAGCTCTCTGTTCCTGCTAGCTGGGAGCTTCCTTTCTAAACAGGAAGTAAGACAGAGCTAGGCCTAGTTAGGGCGCAAAGCCTTCTGGTTTAGGCCTTTCTCCCAGGCGAGTTGTATTTCAGTGTCTGAAAGATGTCTGTCAGGTAGCACTCGCAGAATGGAGAATTATCGGGCTTGTAGTCCCAAAGCACCTATCCCCTCCAATGGAATCCTGGGTTTTGCAGTTTGGCAAGGGACTTATGCTAGAAAGATCTAGCAAAGAGGTATTGCAACAGGAACTTTTTAGGACCTCAGCACGCTAGAAATCCCAGGCTTCTATGGGACTGAGCCCTAACACTTAAAACTGGTATCACACTGATATAACTCTGCAACATACAGATGTTCTGAACCCACTGACGCTAGTTCCATTGGAAAAGAAAATCTAAACATATGAACAAGTGAAAGAAGGGACGGATTTACAGCGGATAAAATGCCCCGTTGGCGGAAAAACTCACAGCCATGTACGGTTTGCAGCCAGCATCCATGGTCTTGGCAACCGAATCCACCAAATAACCACTGATTCCAAAGTCACACATTTTCACGTGCCCCTGTTTGTTGACAAGGACGTTGGACGGCTTGACATCTAGAAGAGAAAAAAAGCACAGCTGGAATTGTGGGGCAGCCAGCTACAACGTCCAGAAATCCCAGGCGTTTGCTAAAACATCAGACTATGACCACAGCAAGTAACAGAGGTACAGGCAATTATTGGAATCAAAAAGGGTGTTTCTTGGGGGGGGGGTTCCACAAGAATGGTTTCAGCAGGCTGCATGAAGCCTGCAGGCAGCCAGTTGCCGACCCTATCTTACAAAGCACACAAAGAGCAGAATATTCATAGACAATACCTACCTCGGTGAATTACGGAAAGCTTGCTATGCAAATGTTCCAGTGCTCGTACAATCTGGGAGAAAAATGAGAGGAGTGGTAAGATGCCTCTTAGCTGCCAGGCAGAATCTTTTAAAAAAAGATAAGCCCAATACGTTTTCAAAATGTTTTAAATAATACCCATGTGCCGTCAAAGTCAGTTCTGACTTATAGCAACCCTTTTCAGGGTTGTCTGGGTAGAGAGTACACGGAGGTGTATTACCATTCCCTTCCACTGGAGGCACCCTGGGGCTGTGCAGCTTGCCCAAGGCTACCCAGGTTGGCTCTTCTGGGAGACGCAGTGGGGGAATTGAACTCCCAACCTCTGGCTCCACAACCAGAGACCTAAATGACTGAGCTATCCAGCTAGCTATTGCTCAGCAGGCTTAGGCAACGACATTTATATTCTTCCCTCAGGGCCTTGTCCCTGGAATTGATTCACTGTCTCCCTGAGGCAAGATGTGCTACTCACAGACACTGCTATTTTCCCAAGGATATCCTCAGGGATTGTCTTCTGCTTTTCCAGAACCTTCTTATAAAATTTATCCAGGGACGTATCCATTAATTCCATGCAGATCCAGACATCCCCCTGAGAACAAGGGCCAAAAGAAAGAAAACCTTCAGACTTAGATTGCAATATATATATTTTTAAACAATAGCCTAGTCTGCTTTTCCATACCTCAAAACGGTATTAAAAAGGCATCACCTCAAACCACAGAGTTAAGGAAGCAGAGCAAAGTTTGGTATAAAGCCTGCACTGAAGAACAGAATGGGAAATCGCGGTCTTGGGTCACTAAGGGAATGTTTTTACCTTGAGAAAGGCTATTTAAAAACAAACAAACCTAAAAACATACTTCAACCATGTCAAAAACCAAACAGTGAAGTCTAGGGCTCTCTCTTGTGAAACCAGACCGGCTTTCTCAGGGCCCGAACGACGGCTGCATTTTCCCTACCCCTCGCCTACCTCTCGGAAAAGGGCCCCGTAGAAAGTCACAGTGTAAAAGCAGTCCACTGTCCTCATGGAGATGTCCAGATCCATCAGAAGCCTCTTTTGTTCCTGAGTATTCACAGTGGCTCGGATCCTCTGGGGAAAAAAAAAGAGAGAGATTGAGAGAGAGAGAGAGCAAGAAAAGCTAACCAGGCAATGCAAAAATCAAAGCTCTTCCAAACTACCAGACTCAACAGTCTCTTCAGGGTGGCAAAACGCCTGGGAATGTTCCTCCCATTATTTTCCCCTCTCGTCCCTTCTGTCTTTCTTTCTGCTGTTTCTCCCCTTGGGGGAAAAATGTTCACTGTAAGCTCCCTGGGGCAGGTACATGATGGGTGCTCTTTGCGTTACTTTGCACTGCCCCTCTTCCGGAAGTTCACTGAAATCCTATTGTGGACCTTAACACCAGCCAAGCGGGCAATGTCATCCATTGCAGGGGTGTATTTACTGATTTTTGTAAATTAAAAATTCCCGGGGCCCCTCCCACAGGATCGGTTTCAGGTGTGCACGGGGGACATGTGGCTTGTGGTTTCTGTGTCACCTACGCCAGCTCTACCTAAAGAGTCTCACGCTCTCTTTCAGGCAGAAGGCCCGAGGGCTTGGCCTTACCTTCACGGCCATGGTGGTGCCACTCTGCGCGTGGTGCACCTTCTCCACAACACCGTAAGCACCTCTCCCTAACTCGACAAGGCTAACCAGGTCATCAGCCTCCACTTCGAAGTTCTGTTGATCGGGGGAAAAGAAACGACAAATGAGGCAGCAAGTTAAGAAGGAGAAAAGGGGACGAGGCTGAGCGGGGACCTTCGTCCAGACTCACTTCATCATCAGGCACTGAAAAGATGACTCCATGCATCAGGCCGAAGTAACACAACCGAGGGGCCTTGTTGTGCTCCTGTCTTGCTTATGGGCTTCCTGGGAGAAGCTGATTGACCACCCCGAGCACAGAATACTGGGCCAGATCTGGTGGTTTGATCAGTGGTTTCATTCATTCATTCATTCATTCATTCATTCATTCATTCATTCATTCATTCATTCATTCTTATCCCACCCAACTAATGGCAGAGCAGAAACACAAAATGCACAGCAGACTCCATAAAAAATCGCATTAACATCTCCACAAGGTCAGGAGAATAGAGCAGATGTGAACTCCTAACTAAGAGATGGAACGATACCTTGGGAAGAATCTCTAAATTAACCCACAGGTCTATTTCCAGCATTTTAGAGTTTTAGAAGAGGCAGCCATGCGAGACCGTGCAAGCAGATCAGGCAAAATCTAAAGAAGCAAAAAGGCATAAGCACATGGGCACCTTAAAGATGAACGATTGTATTTTAATGTGAGCTTTCATGGCAGACTTGTCCACGAAAGCTGACGTTAAAATACAATCGTTAGTCTTTAAGGTGCCACAAGTTTTTGCCTTGTCTTGTCTTGTTTTGTAGTGTTTGCAAGGGCTCCCTTGACCCCTTGCAAAATCTACAAGCACTTTTAGATGGGGTCTCTCCATCAATGCCCTTGGAAACTATCGCCTCGGTGGGTAGAGTAAGGCAGGGACTCTTGTCACTGAGCTACAGTCCGTGAAAAGACTCACATCTTCACATCCCAGCTGCTTCTCCACGACCAACACGTTGCTTTTGAAGGGAGAGCCCATGGCCAAAAAAATATTTGGAATATCATTCTAAGTAGCCCAAAGACGCTTTGCCTTCAACTGTTCTACGTTGCCGACTTTTGGACCATGAACTATCCTAGTTGGATTCTGGACAAAGTTAGCCAAGAAGATAAAAGAAAACAAAAGAGGAAGGAAGGAAGGAAGGAAGTAGACTTTCCACAGTGTTTCTCCTTCAGAATTCTCACTGCTCTGACAGTGGTTGCAGAAGGGCCCCCAGATCACTATACTTCTGCATTTCTTATGGCTTCCTTTTTTCAACTAGCCTAAAGTGACACACCATCCATGATTGCCCTCTGCATGTGCCCAAACTACAAATGGATAGAAAGGACCACATCCCAAGAGCCTCTATTTCCTTTTGTCCGGAAAGCTAAGTTTCTAGTCCTTAAGACTTGGAGAAACAAACCGATGTGTGGCAAAATTTTAGCAGCTGCAAAGAGGAGGGATCCCTAGCCTTCATAATGGGGTCAAGTTAGAGGAAGCCAGATTTAGGCTGAATTATCAGGATAAACTTCCTAACTGTTAGAGCAGTACAACAATGGGATGAATTACCCGAAAATTGGACAACCATCTGTCAGATCTGCCTTGATCTGTGTTCCTGCACTAAGCAGGGGGTTGGACTTGATGGCCTTATAGGTCCCTTCCAATTCAATTATTATACGACTCATTGAGTTGGGGAGCATATACTCAGCACAGATGTTTGCTCCTCCATGTACTCTACAGAGGCTGACTTTGAATGGACTTTGTTGATTCATTCACTCATTCATTCATTCACTCATTCATCCATTCAATCATTCATTCATTGTTACATACTGCCCCATAGTGCTTGGAGTACTCTCTGGGAGATTTACAACAAAATTGCACAAGGAACACTTTGTCTCCCAGCAAGCTGGGCATTCATTTTACTGACCTTGGAAAAATGGAAGGCTGTGTCAACCTTGAGCTTGAGCCTGCCATGATCAAACTCAGGTTGGGGGAAGAGGCTTCTCTCAGTTTGGCTTAAACCCGAAACACACTTGGCCGACCCAGGATTCTGTCACCAGAAAATCTATTTCCCATGCACAGCCACAGTGCAACAAGAGGGCTTCAGTCACCATCCTCAGCTTCAAAAACCATAATTAACCATAAACCATGGTTAACCATAAACCATGGCTAACCATAAACATGTCACTCCTGATTTCACCAAGTACAGCTTCAGCAAATGAGAAAAAAAAAACTACTTCTTTGCATTGCATGCCCCTGAATCTTCCAGCCGGCAGTCATATTGAGTGAAGGATTCTGAAAATTGCCCCTCCAGTAACTTTTCCACACTCTTTCCTCTGCTATCAAAGCAAAATAACAGAAGTACAGAATCCTATATGTAAAACAGTGACAGACAAAAAACAGCCACGTACTTTATCACCAACGGTAATAAAAGTCCTGGAATCCAGGTTCCTGGGAGGTCTGTAAAAGAGAAAGAGAGAGTAAAGAATTGGACGAGACAGCAGCCACTGGTGAGTATCCAACACATATGCAGTATTCAAGGAAATCTCCATTAAGCCTATTTATTCAGTCAATAAATCAAGGGAGAAATCCAACGGTGGTGAGCATCAAATAAGTACCAAATAAGCACTGCTCAATCCTTGACCAAAATATTTTGGATCACCTGCATTTGGACCATCAAATCTTGGCTGGTCTAGATGACAATGTAGGACTTAATACCCTAGATAGAAGCACGACTAGAATATTCCCTTTGCTCAAGCTAGCAAGAAAGCAAACTGGGAGGTCCTCCTTTCACAAGTATCTTCCCCGTTTCGTCTGGACTGTGAATCCAGGTTGAGACCAAACTGGAAGAAGAAACCAGTTTGAAGTTGGTTTAATATTCTGGCTTGCGCCAGATCGGTTGGCCATGGTTTTCCGGTCTATACGAAATGGGAAATAAGAACGAAGGAAGATCTCTTTGTTCTTTCCTTCGGCCCATAAAAGAAGACCAAAAAAACTGTATCAATATTTTTTATTTAAACTATTTATACTCTGCCTTTCTTCCCATAGATATCAACTGGTACTGTTTACATCACGGCTGATTAAATCGAGAAGAGATCTTAGCAATAACCGAACACTACGTTAGTTGCTTCTGTATTAAACTCAGGGGGAAAGGAATTGATGTATCTGGAACAGGACTTCTCCACCGTAGGTCCCCAGGTGTTCTTGGACTACAACTCCCAGAAATCCTGGCCAGCTCAGCTAGGGGTGAAGTTCTTCTGGGACTTGTAGTCCAAGAACATCTGGGGACTCAAGGTCGGGAAGCACTGGTGTAGAGTAATGCTTGAAAACAATTTTAACCCTAGCCTACTCTTTCTGAAAAAAGGGACGTGGTGGCGCTGTGGGCTAAACCGCAGAAGCCTGTGCTGCGGGGTCAGAAGACCAAGCAGTCGTAAGATCGAATCCACGTGACGGAGTGAGCGCCCGTCACTTGTCCCAGCTCCCGCCAACCTAGCGGTTCGAAAGCATGTAAATGCGAGTAGATAAATAGGTACCACCTCGGTGGGAAGGTAACAGCGTTCCGTGTCTATGTCGCACTGGCCATGTGACCACGGAAGATTGTCTTCGGACAAAACGCTGGCTCTACGGCTTGGAAACGGGGATGAGCACCGCCCCCTAGAGTCGAACCCGGTGTAGAGTAATGCTTGAAAACAATTTTAACCCTAGCCTATTCTTTCTGAAACCTTATCTTCTTAAACCTCAATGAACTCCTCCTATTGTAATATGCAAGCAGCATTCACTTAACGAGATACTTCCAAGCTGTGGTTGGTATTGCAAGTCTCTGATCGAAACTGATGGGACTGTCAAGAAAAATATTAGCAATAAAAAAACTCCTTTTTAAGGAACCTATGATAAGGAGCCAGACCCTTGGTAGAACGGCTTCAGAACAGACAACAGCCCTTTGAGGCTTCAGGCAGAGGTCTCTTGTCCTAGGACTTTGCTTGAACACGTTTGGCCCCCTTTTTGTGCCATCACCAGCCCCTCCATCAGGTGTGGATTTCAGTGACCCCATTCCTTCTGTGCATGAGGGTGAGGGACAGCAGCATCCTCCCCCTTGCACAAACTCGACAAGGAGTCTGCAAGCACTCTTTGGAGATTGCGATATTTCCAAGCTCTGGTTGGTATTGCAAGTCTCTGATCGAACCCACTGTGTCTGATGGGACTGTCAGAAAAATATTAGGAATAAAAAAACCCTCCTTTTTAAGGAACCTATGATAAGGAGCCAGACCCTTGGTAGAACAGCTTAAGAACAGGCAACAGCTTTTTGAGGCTTCAGGAGGAGGTCTCCTCTCCTAGGACTTTCCTTGAACACATTTTGGCCCCCTTTTTGTCCCATCATCAGCTCCTCCATCAGGTGCGGATTTCAGTGACCCCATTCCTTCTGTGCATGAGGGTGAGGGACAGCAGCATCCTCCCCCTTGCACAAACTCGACAAGGAGTCTGCAAGCACTCTTTGGAGATTGTTCCCCGCAAAGGGACGCATGACAAATCATGTGCAAATTTGTACAAGCTGTGTAAACCGTGCAAAGTGCAGACACGGCGTGATGCATGTCCAGGGAAGACCACGGGTGTTTTCTTGCACAGGTATTTAAAAGTATGTACCTTGCCTGATCTGATGAATGCCCTTGTTCTGAAAGGACCGATACATTCTATGGAAAACCGAAAGGATGCTGACTATTTCTGTTTTTGCCACCAAGTGCATGGAAGAAAATGGGGGGGGGGGAATCAATAATGTTAAAGAAGCAATAAACCTGCCCGCTACCATCACGGATCTGTGCACCCTGCACCTTTCAGGTTTGCTTTTCTGAACAACAAGACCTGATGCGCTGAAACAATTTATGTTCCATCAGATCCGATCTCTGCTCTGAGTCTGAATCAGTTTGCAAATTCCTCTTTTGGCTCATCCCGGAGCCAAATCTCTCCATTCTGCTTCAATCTAGACACGTCGGACAAATTGCTCTGAATCTGGCCCGCTCGGTTTGGAATTTGGGACTGGTCCAAAGCCAGTGCATAGCTCAACCTGGAAACAGTATTTCTGGGTGAGAAATCCCACCCCCGGTCCTGCACCCAGCAAAGCTGGTGGGTCGGCAGACCCCGAGAGCTGCAGACCCAAACAAGAGCACCTTTTCCAAACTCTGGCTTAACGGGCGGGCGGTGTAGCTTCCCCTGTTGCTTTTTGCAAATGCCAAGAAGCCTGTGCAAAAGGCATTTCTCGCCTGTGATCACAGATCCTGTCCTAGAGCTTGCAAAACAAAGCAAAAGCAGATCTTACGTTGCAGGGACGGAGGGCTGCTTGTTGGCTGAAGGCATTCTCAGGATGGGAGGCCTTTTCTTCTTGGTTCCTAGAGGTGAGGAAGAGGAGGAAGAAACAGGGTGATGAAGGAAAAGGCCAGCCAAAGGGTCGCCATTTGGTAGGGTGCTGCGATTCAACTGGGCAGGTCCCCCGTTCAAATCTCGACCCAGCTACAATGCAGCAACCTCTGCCTTGCAGGGTTGTGGGGAGGAAAACGTAAGGGGAAAGTGGACAACTGTCTTCCGAGGAAAGATGGGAGAAGACAATGCAATCAATTTGCAGCGTGTACTTCTTGAGCATGCCCGCAGATGGACAGACGGACAAACCAGTGGGTTCAAATCAAGCCTGGCCACTCTCTAGAAGCAAACATGATGAAATGGAGGCTCTCCTCCTTTGGGCACATCCTGAGAAGGTAGGCTTCTCTGGGAAAGACAGTAAGGCTGGGAAAGGTGGAAAGCAGCAGGAAAAGAGGAAGACTTAATACAAGATGGTCTGACTCCCTAAAGGAAGCCACAGGGTTGAGTCTGCAAGAGCTGAGCAGGGCTATTGAGGACAGGGCAGGATGGAGAGCGCTCATTCCTAGCGTCCAGGGGACAACAACAGACTAAGCCTTGCGATGTTCTTTGGGGGGCAATGTCCAGGAAACTGGGAGTACACGCGCTCATTCCTAGCGTCCAGGGGACAAAAGACTAAGCCTTGCTATGTTCTTTGGGGGCAATGTCCAGGAAACTGGGAGTACAACTACAGCCTCAAGTCTTCGGGCACAGTTTGAGCATTGCTCAAGATGGGAGCTGATGCCAAGTATCCACTCGGGGGCCATGATCTTGCGAGTGCAGAAGCCAAACGGAGCATTTTTCAAGACTGGCAGCAGCCAGAAATGCAATCTGCTCTCCACAAACACATTGGCCAAGCCCCGTCTCTCCTTCTTGACGGACATCCATTTGAGCCTTCCTCACTGCTCAAGACTCAAGCTTGGAAAGAGACCGAGGTCACAGACCGGCCTCTCTGGATCGGGAAGCAGAAATCGCACACCCTGCATGAAGTCATCAGGGAAAGGCTAAGTTAAATCGTTCCTTGCAAAGGACTGAGATGACCAGGGAGACAAGAAAGATGGGGTTACAAGGATAATGACATGTTTAGGAAGTTTATAGCTGGCCAGATAGCTCAGTGGGTTAGGTATCTGGCTATGGAGTCAGAGGTTCAGAGTTCAATTCCTCACCGTGTCCCCTGGGAGGACAGCCAGCCTGGGAGGCCTTGGGCAAGCTGCACAGACCCATGGTGCCCCCCCCCAGAGAAAGGGAATAAGAGACCACTTCTCTGTATTCTCTACCTGGAAAAAGAGAAAGGGAATAAGAAGCCACTTCTCTGTATTCTCTACCTGGAAAACCCTCCACTATAAGCTGGAATCGACTTGATAGGATGCAATTATTGTTATTATAGGAAGCTTATGCCTTACCTCCTTTTCGCTTCTCCAGGGATCCTTTGGGATCTAGAAAAGAAAAGGAGAGAAGACATCAAAGATTAAGAGAGCGATCCAAACACACCAGATCTCCCAGCTGGAGGGGGCACCACTTGCTGATGCTATGTCTTTAGCCTACAAATCCCAGAACCCTTCAAAGACATCATGGCCATCCTGACTGTGAGATTCTATAGCGGCTGATAGTTGTTGGGGTTTTTTTTAGTAACTTTCCCAAACTCCAGTGTGCCCCAACGCTGATTTGCAAGTCAGCTTCCAACCATGATGGTTTGACAGCCACTTGCAAACCATCGTATATCAAGGAGATGCTGATTCATATGTCACAAGAAACCATGGTTTGGCTTAGCAAACCATGGTTTGGCCGTTTTCTCTGTCTTAAAAACTTGCCAGCAGGTTAAGGGTTAACTGGAGAAAGAACATACACACACACACACACACACACACACACCCTCCCCACTCCCCCACTCGACTCCTCTCCGAAACTTTCCAAGGATTTTTGGAGTTCAAATCGATTAGACCCACATTGCTTCCTTTTGCCATGTCTGCGGCACCTGAAGCCAAAAGAAGGGTCTATTTTAATTTTAAATCAAGGACCTTCTTTAGGAACCTTTCCTTAAAGCCAAAATGTAACTCCCTCCCCCCTTACGATTATTTCAGTGGCATGGCCATGCATGTGCAGACGGCTGTCGGAAAAAGATGGGCCGACAAATCTGAAAAAAAAAATTTCTTGTTGAAGCCAGTTAGTGTGCTCCTGAACTGACACTGCGTAGGGAGTGCAAGCTTTTCTCTTTGCTCCAGAGTTAACGTAGAGTAATACATAGTAAAACAAAAGAAAAATTAAAAATTAAAGAAGAAGAAAACATTGTGGCACTTTTAACTGCTGTCCTTCAATGTGAGCTTTCGTGGATAAATCCACTTCTTCAGACTCGTCCACAAAAGAGCACCCTGAAATTATAGTTGTTAGTCTTTAAGGTGAGATGACTTTTTTGGTTTGTTTGTTTGAGAAACTAGCATAGACGAAGATGGCAACCTCTTCTAAAACCACAACTAATAAAAACAGAGACTTTCTCGCCGGTGGGAAGCAAACAGATCCTAAACAATGGTCATTTAAATCTAGAATATGGGGAGTGAAATCAGGAGTGACTATGGATTGAAGGAGGATTAAGACGGGACGTGAAGATCCGGTCCCCAAAAAGACTGGATTTCTCCCCTCCATGTGCACCTGGTTTTAATGCAGGGTAACTTCCGCAGGCATGCTCTTTCTCTGCATTGTTTAAATAGAAAAGAAACAATGAAGCCAGCATGATATTGCCAACATACTGAATTTCTGCACCCTGAAGCAGCACTTATTTATTTATTTATACATATGCTTCCTGGAGGAACAGACATCTGGACCAAAATGTTTTTTTAAAAAACCCACAAACAAACAAACTTATTTACAACTTCTGACTGTGTTGAAGCTACTTTTTAAGTGGCTGGTTTCTGTTATGGAAGAGTACAGTGCCTCGCTAGACGATGATAATCCGTTCCACTGAAATCACTGTTTAGCGAAATCATTGTCTAGCAAAAAGCATTTCCCCATTGGTCATAGGAAAGCCGCTTTGCGAATCGCCCAATCAGCTGTTTAAATCGCTGTCTTGCGAAGCTTAGGTCCTGAAAACACCCGTTTTGCGAGCGCGGAGGGAGCTGTCAAAATCGTCGTCTAGCAAAAATCGGTTTGCGAAGCAGGGACCAAACATTGTCCAGCGAAATTCCCCCATAGGAATCACTGTTTTGCGAATCGCTATAGTGATCGCAAAAAGTCAATGTCTAGCGAAAAAACTGTAATGCAGGGTAACTGTCTAGCGAGGCACCACTGTACATGCTCAGAAATGGAGCTCGGTTGCAGAATATTCTCTGCAATTATAAAGGTACAGTAGAAACCGGTACAGGTTTAGTTTTACCACTAACGGAGAAAGTAAGTTGCCCCCAGAGTCTCCTCCTACGATTGCCCGCCAGGCTGGTCCAGGGAATAATTTTCCCTGTACGTCTTCCCACAGTGAAAGTCACTCATTTGCTGTTCCGGCTTTTCAAATGCCAAGAAAAATCCTTTCTATTACCCTGTATCCGGCTGCTGGTTTTTCAACTTAAGTGTGAAATGCTGACCTATATTCAAAATTCTCATCGTAAGGCCATCGGCCACATTGGGCAACCTGGAGGAAGAAAGGCAGGCGAAGACGTTTGGAGGGTTTAGCAAGCCTCACCCACAAGCACCACCTCAGAAACCTTGAGGTCTAGAAACTTGTGATTCCTTGTTGCTGTGACATGCAGGCAACTTTCCAAATTCTCTCTGCTCGGAGTAGGCGAGGCAGGAATCTTGAAATCCGGCTGCTGAATGTATTAAGTGAATGAACGAGTGAACGGACGGTTCGCCCTCTTCCTGCCCTTCCTCAGAACCCTGTCTCCTCCATGAGGCCTAGCCTCGTGTTTTCAGACAAAAAGTCTAAGGGCACGATCCGACAGCTGCAAAGGCGCAGGCTTGATTGCCACCAGAAAGCGTCGCTGGAAGGGGAGCAGTTTTCCATCTGTAGGGGACTCACTCGAACCCAACCCCCAAAAGTAGAAGCCCTATAGCCGGCCCAAAAAACATCTAGCTAGGCATAGATCGGGGTCGCACCGGACTGCAGTTCCCCATGCGTCGTGTGGCTGCTGGGAAACAGATCACGTACTGCGACCTATTTCTCTGTGTAATCACGCCCTCAGTCTTCTGGTTTCCAAAGTTTAGATTGTTGTTGTTTTGCGTCATCCCGTCACTTCTGACAGGAATAGGGTTTTTGAGGTCTGTGCGACATTCAAGGCGTGGCTTGCCACCTCCACCCCTCCCCAATGAGTCTTCATGGCTGGTCAGGATTTGAACCCAAGGCTCCTGAGTCCTGGGGTCTGACACGGCATCCGCTAGACCCCGCCATCTCTCAAAAAAAAATTCAGATGAGAGCCATTGTTATTCTGCAGAGACCACGGCTCACGAGCCTCTCGGTCTCCATTTACTGGTTCCACTTATTTCTTCGGAGCTCCTGCCACAGACGGGAGTCAAGAAGATGCGCTCTGACCTCTCGTTGCACAGCCGTCTCCACCCTCCTGAACCCAAAGCACAGTGCAAACACCGCCAGCCAGCCTGGAGCATGCATGAAGACGGGCACATCGGCCCCAACGCTTCCTAACCAAACAAGCTGTGCTGGAAATTCCACCTTTTCACCCTGCAGCCTTTCCAGCAGGCCAGTCTCGAGTTGTTACACCAAGCAAACTCCGCTGCAAACTTCCTCCTGGGGAGACAGCCACACACACATGCACACACACACACACTCACACATGCGCTAGGTGAAGTTATAAATAGCGCAAGGAGGTTTGCACTCGGCTGACACTTCTCCAAAATAATCGGGTGAGCCAGAAACAACCCAGGGGAAGAAACGGGAGGAGGGAAAGGCAGGGGGGATTTAGCCGGTCAAAATTCCCCTTCCAACTGGAATTGCGCATTCACTTAAAGCCCCTTTTTAAAAATAGATCGCTACGGAAATCACACAGCTATGAAGGCCGTCCTTCCGTTTTCTAACCCGTTAGCAGACCCTGGAAAACACCTTTCCTCCAGCCTGCGCCCTACAGATGCGGCGGACTGCAGTGCCCATCATCCTTGGCCAGAACTGCCCGCAATTGGGGTGATAGCAGGAATGGGGGACTCAAGCTTTGTTGTCAAGTCAGACTTAAGTTGCACCAGTGACTCGACTCAGGTTTTTTAACGAATGACTCGCAACTCAGAACCTCCCCAGTTTGTAATAGGAACTTTGTAACAAAGACTCGAACTCAGGACTTGGACCCAAAAGTCTTGCCAGCCTCCCTGGCATTTCAGGGTCTTTCTTCTGCCTTCCCAGCTTCTAAATGGCCCCTCAACAGCTTCTGAGGATTTATTGACAGACTTCCAATCAACCTCTCCTTCCCACGACCTGACCCAGCTGCCAAACGACATCTTTCCCTAGTCATGCAAACCCTCCAGAACTTTTGAAGCCATGGAAAGAATCCAGGTTTTCTTTCTTTTTTTCTTAATGAATAGGGGGGGCAGAAATTGTGTGTGAGAGAGAAAATCGAAGTATATGTATTACAGTACTTGTTTCCATATCAAATTGAAACTTCTTTTACCACTTAAAGCCACACAAAAGCCAATATTTAAGATAACAGAACAAATACGTGTGTGCAAAGCAACACAATAAATGTTGATTTAAATGTAATAAAAGCAAATAATGAATCAAGAAATGAAAAGGCGTCGTTCCTAACGTAGCATGTGAAAAACGGCAGAGGTATGAAATGTAAGAATGGAAAGGCCATGAGCAAAATTGGGAGGAGATTAAGAACAGAGCTAAAAGCTCCCCAGCTTTTCTGTGCATTGCAATTTACAAGTAAGGAAGTGTGTGTAGACACACACACACACACACACACACACAAAGGAAGAGAACCAATCTTAACAAGGTTTTCACATACCTTGTTCTGACTTTCCCCCCTAAGCTTGGAAAAGGGATGAGAATCAATAGGGAACCCACCCCTAGCTACACCTTCAAACGTCACCTTCCAGGATCCTGCCTCATCGCCTGGCAGCAATACTCAAGTCGCCCTAGGAGACCAGTCCAGCTATCATTTTACACGCCTGGAACCTGCAATTCTACTAGGGTTAAGCTCTTCACGAATAAACAAGCTTTGGTCCACTGACTAGTTAATTACATCATTCAAGAATATCTAAGCTTTTTACAAATGCAGCACATTAGAAGGAATAAACATACAGATCTTAATCACCAAAGACGTTGATGCTCACATTGTATTATTAGTTGAACAATGGCAAGGACATCTATTCAAGCCATGGGCAGAGCACCTTGAATTAATTAATTAATTATTGCAAATTAATGTAGTTAGAATATAACTTACAATCCTGTAAGATCACTGCCCATAAAACTGATTCAAAATTAAACTATAAACATGATGCAATGTAC